TAGCTTCCATCTGCGCACACCCCTAGGCAAGTTTCTCCTTCCCAGAGTGAACCAACAGCCTTTCTCCCACCCTGCCATCATCTGCCTCTCCAGAACCCCACTGCCACCTAAGCACAGCTGTGTGCTGGGTCCCTGACCCCCCAGCTAGCTGTGTCTGCTACACTGATCAGACCTCGGGGTCAGCGGAATAGTTATGCAATGTGGATATGAGTGGGTAGGGGAAAGGACACTCTGATGACAAAAAAAAGGTGACCCTTTCACTCCTGAAAAGCACTACCAGTCTCTTGCACAGCACACTAAATGAACGTGCTGGTTCCTATTGAGTTCCCAGGGTCTTGGCTCAGGGTAGCTGGGTCATAACATTTTCAGAGCGCTCTGGAGCATCTTCTCAGCAGTGCCACCTTGCCAGACTGATGTAAATTCCAAACAAATATTCTTGGCAGTCTGTGCTCATTTCACCAGCATCCTAGCCTGACCGCTCTCTGTATTTGATCCACCATTGGATCCACCATATGGAGATCCACTGAGATATGGAGAGAGAGACATCTACCTTTAGAAACACCTTCACTCCTCCAATTTGTTCTCCCAGCAAGAGCAACTTGGAGAACTTCTCCATTGCTCTGTCAGTGGACATATTCACAGTGAGGTAGAAAAAATGTGTAAAAATCATGTGGGAGATATATGATTGAGCCTTTATAGCAGATTTTTACCTACAAGCACACCTTCAGGTTGATGGACAATGTTGCTCATCTTGTGTTGAGCTTCCAGATCTACAGCTGGACAGCCTTGCAGAAGAGCTAGGTCCACCTGCAGTCTTACCATTTCGCTGCTCCCCATTTGTCTAGAACAAATTTACCTCTTACCCTATATGCTGACAGTTACTAGTGATAAGCACCTGCTGAAGTTTTATTCACTTAGACTCTCTTTTGGAGAGACTTACTAAGACCTTGCTCAGCGATAGCAATTGACCTCAGCTGACTTCAGCAGGGGTCTCCCATTGGTACCACTTGAAAGCCTCTCTTCAAAATGTTTTGGATCTTGTTTTGCCTCCTTCCCAAGTATGCTGGTGACAAATGTTTTCAAAGATTCTTTATTTTCATGTGGACGTTCCCCGTTCATTTATTCCAGTGAGATAAACTGGCCCTGATTGCTTTACTGTCTGAACATGACTTTTCTATAGTACCTTCTGGTTTTCTTTGGCCATGTTATTGACACTGGGTAATAGAACATGAAAGGAGTGTGGATGGGCTTTTACAAAAAAATCAGCTAAACAGCTATTAGAGGATTAAAAGCAATCCCATGGCCAGGATTACACATCTTTAAAATGATGATAATATCAAGGAGCAAATGGATTTGTAATTTAATGGCAGAAGAGGGAAGACTTCAGATGTGTGGGTTTTTTCACATTTGATAGAAAGATTAAAGTGTCTGCATTTGGTGTTCAGGAGTTTGATAAAGCTGTAGCACGGTTGCCTAGGGAATATCAGTGTTTGGCTTTCTTGTAAATAGTAATTGTGCCGCATGGAGAGAATTCTTCTGGTCAACATTTTTATTAAAACTTTAATACTCAGGGTGACAAGTTGGACCATTGTCTGCTTTCAAAGTCTGATAATGATACACTTTAGAAGCTTTGAAGAAAACCTTTGTCTAGACAGAAACAGCTTAAGAAAGCTTTTGAAATGTAGCATTCACTTGAAACCTTTGTTGACGCCTGTAGGAAGCACTGATCCATATTTGGGAAATCTTGAGCTGTTTTCTACTTCCTTGTGCTAAAAGTGTGCAAGAAGTTTGCATGACAACAGGAACTGCGAGAAATAAAAATGTACAACTTTCCTAAGGAGAGTTGTTCAACTTGTGACAGATTTTTCCCACAGAAGGAATTTCCTTTTAATCCAGAAATTAATTTTCCTTTAAAATTAAATTAAGCTACATGTGACATTCTGGCTTTTCCATCTTCAGCATTGAGGTTGGATTGGGAGGTATTTTAAGGACACTTCCAGAGCTGCTAAAGATGTATAATCTAAAAAAAAAGTATCTACAGTCTCATTGAAATGTAGACTTTTAACCAGTCCCCTTGAATTGAGGTCCAGAGGCCTTTTCCAGAATATTATTTCACAAAATCCAGGTTTGGTTCTGACTGCAGAGTATAAAGGATATGCAACAACCAAACCAGTCCCATTAAGACGTGCAGCAGATCAGCCCACATCTCACACGGGAAGAGACACCCTACAGTGGCAACAGCCAAGCACAGGCCCAAGGTGTGATGTTCTTCACTTGGTTAGACTCCCACTGAGGAACATCCCACGGGAGATGAAACTGAAAGGGGGCAGAGCCATGACCTAGTCCACTTCCCCAGCCAGCCTAACTAGCTGATCATGGAGAAGGTGGCATGCTGCACCATCTTTCTGGGATTTGGAATCAGAGGATTATGGCTCCTGGATATATCTCTGTGATAACCATCTGACCAAAAAATTTATGTGGGGCATTATCTGATGCCTCCTGCCCAGGAAGTAACAGTCATTCTGGTCATTTTTAGTTTTAGTGGTTCGGTTTGATTTGGCTATTTATTGTGATTAAATGTATATTAACTGCTTTTCATCTTCAGAGTGCTTTACAAACAACTATATGTTTCACAGAATTTGTCTCAGGTACTCTGAGGAAGTGTATGTTTTTCATAGATAACAAAGATTTAATCTCTGCTTTGAGGGAGAAATGCAATTCAGGCTTACTGACAGAGTTACCAGCAGCACCACTCTATTTCCACAAATCTCAAAACTGAGGGGGAGAGAGAGAGGTTGAATCTCTTGTCAGAGACCACAAAGGGAAGGAAAAGAACCAAACAATAACGGATCCCAATCAGACATTCAGACCACTACCTTGCCCTTCTCCCTTTTCTTGGATAACAAACACTTACACGTTCAAAAATGAGTGCTTCAGCTCTGGATCCTTAGAGACAACTGTTCAGGTAACTAGACTTCTACTTTTTGGGCCTGCGAAACAGACCCTGCAAGAGTAACAGCCCTTAGAAAAACAAAATAATCATTAGAAAAGGAAGCTGGCTACCACATAAAGAATAAAGAACAAAGCCTGTGACTGCTGTGGACGTTTTTAGCAGTGCTGCTTCATTACAGTCAAGATAAGTGACCAGTTTGCAGCAAGTCGTTTGGACAACTCATGTAGGCTTTTTCCATTTCTGAACTGTGTGTGATTTGCCTAAATGTGTTTGTTTTTCAAGGTTATTGGCTGTATATTAAGAAAAAATAATTGGGTTCAGAGCTCCAGCAACAGCTAGACCCAGAGCTGGACTGCAAGTACTTGAAGGTAGGCACCCAATAGCTAAAAGTGTATAAATGTTCAGAGTAGTTTTCTAAGAATCAGCAGAGTATTTTTATACCAAATAATTTTGATTAGATACCCACAGCACAAACCTGTTCCTTATCTAGATTTAAGAATCTAGATTAAAAATTTATTTTCATAGGTAGCAGCTCGTATTTACTTCCTATCCATTTTCTTTATTCTTTGCTGAAAATTCATTACTCCTGCAAACAGTGCTGTCCCATTCGTTACCAACTGAAAGTGAAAAAAAACCCCACAGCCAGGATTAATTCAATTTTTTATTTAAATGAAATTTATGGACACATTTTGAGGTATTTGATCAGTATTTTTTCTTATTTATACACAAATATTTTTTCAGGTGTTCAGTCAGCATATCGTGAAGGAAAGACAAAAAGATTCAAAACCATTTCACTATCGTGAGGCCAAAAAAGCGAAAATTTGAAAGGTCTGTGGAAAGTGTATGGGTAAGAAGGAGTTTACCCTATATTCAGAATGGGACTTAAGCACATAGCTAAATGTTATTTAAATCTGGCTTTTGAGAAAGGAAGATTTTCAAGCAATTTGGAGAAAAATTCTCATTTTAAGTAGACACGGTCCAAATGAAACTCATTTCATAGATTTTGAGATATTAAATTTTAAAACGTGCATTCTTTGAAAAAGTAACACAATATTCTAAGCAAAAGGAGAATTACCTACATTTTCATGCAGATGTAAACTGATAGATTTAATGTTACCCTTTTTGTACACACCAGTACCTAACCACTACAGGAACACACTTCTAAGCATACAATCTCTGACCTGTCAAAAAGACACTATCAAGACTATTTTGTCCACAAACTCAATTTTCAGAAAAGAAAGAAAAAGGCTGGCAACATTTCAGTATCATGAGTGGAGCTTTGCTTTTGAAGGTGCAGTTTTACAGAATTCTGTCTCCCTCTTCCTAGCATCAATTAGAACGAAAGTGTTAGATTTTCTTTTCCTGAAAATTATCCTTCGAATAATCACCAAATAGCCAGTGCTCAGTGTATGAGTTGCTTCTTTCACTTTAGAAGATGCCGTAAAAGAAATTAATTCCCAAATATAGCCTTATTTATATTAAAAGGTTATCTTCTCAGAAATAGAATATTTCTGTGAGT